ACCCGTGGTGCTCTGCCCCCCAGCTGCAGCTCCGCGCCTGGCGGGTCCCGCTGACCCCGGGGGGGCGGCCGAGCGAGACCCGGCACCGATTCTGCGGCTGGCCCAACCTGCCCCCCGAGCCCGCCCACCATGCCGGCCCCCAGCCCTTCGGCCTGGCCGCCCACCACAGCGACGGCGCCTCCAAGGTAGGGACCCCAAAGATTGGGGGGGCCTCTCTGGTTGGGGGGGGAAGGAGCTGGGGTTCCCCAGGAGGCCGATGGGGTGGGGAGAGGGGTCAGGTTCCCAGGGAGATGGCAGATGGGGTGGGGGGAGGGGCTGGGGTCCCCAGAATGGGGTGAACCCTAATTTCCATCTCCCCCGGCACTCCAGTCCATGGTGGCCAGCACGGAGAACAAGCCCCTGGCTGGATCCGTCTTCTATGTCCGCGACGGGGCGGTTCTGAGCCGTCTGGAGCCCTATGTCTCCGTCACCAGCCAGGACATCCGCGCCTTCACCCCGTGAGAGACCCCACTGCTTCGGGGAGGGGGGGGTACTGGGAGCCAGGACGCCTGGGTTCTCTCCTGGCTCTGGGAGGGGAGTAGGGTCTAGTGGTTAGAGCAGGGGGGGCTGGGAGGCAGGACGCCTGGGTTCTCTCCCTGGCTCTGGGAAGGGGGTGGGGGCTAGTGGTTAGAGCCAGGGGGGCTGGGAGGCAGGATACCTGGGGGCCATTGGAAGAGGGAGGAGTTGGGGGGTGCGGGCAGGGCTGACCGAGTCGGGGGGCAGAAGGATCCGTGGTTTCACACACCCCCCGTCTCTCCCCCAGGCAGGAGCTGCACGGCTACGCCCGGAAAGACGCCCTCACCTACTGGCAGTTTGAGGGTTACCCGAAGGCCTGGGGGCACGGCCTGAGGGACCCCTCCCTGGGCAAGGACGCGGTGCCCCCCCTCCAGCCCCCCGGCCCCCCACGTGACCCCAGCCTCTTCCCCAGTCCCACCCGCCCTCCCCGCCTGCCCACGCTGGCCCCTGCTGTCCCGCACCGGGGGGCGCTGAGCCTGGTGCAGGAGTCCTACGGGCCCCCCCGCCGCACCCCCAGCATCCGGGGGCCCCCAGCCCGGCCCCCCACCGTCTGCCCCCCTGCAGCTGGGCCCCAGATCCTGGCAGTGCCCCTGATGTACCGCACGGAGAGCCAATGTTATGGGAGCAGCAAACCTGGGCCTGTCTGAGGGGGCTCCCCCATACTGTGCACCCCAACATGCTACAATACGTCACCCCTGTGTTTTCTGGTCTGTCCTCCTTGGGGGGCAGGGGGCTCGCCGAGGCCTGGTCCTTTCTCTGCCTCCCCCCCCCCAAGACGCCAGGACACCTGGGTTCTATTTGGGGGGGGAGGGGCTGCCAGGTATGATTCTCAGAAGAGGACTCAGGTGTCCTGACTCCCAGCCCCCCTCCCCCATGCCCTTGGGGGGGATTTGTCCGGGGGCACCGCTGTTGAGGCCAGCAGGATGTGGGGATTTCTCACCTGGCAACGCAGCTGGCGCCGGCCCCCGGCTTCTGGGGGGAGCCCGGGTTGCCCTTGGCAAAGGAGACGTGAGCCGAGAGGGTGAAGGGCTCTGCCCCCTCCCTTCCCTGAGCCGGGAGAGAACCCAGGAGTCCTGCGCCCCAGCCCCTTCCCCTCCCAGAGCTGGGAGAGAACCCAGGAGTCCTGGCTCCCAGCCTCCTGCTCTAACCACTAGACCCCACTCCCCTCCCAGAGCCAGGAAGAGAACCCAGGAGTCCCCAGGGGCTGCGACAGGCGAAGGGGCTGGCTGCTCGGACTCCTGGGTTCGCCCCTGGCAGACAGGCCGCGTGGGCCGAGCGCCCTAGTGACGTTGGCCTTGAAGTCGCCCCCTCCCTGTGCCGGGGTGGGGGGGTGGCCTTGGCTCCCCGCTGTCACCAGCTGGAGCAGGGCGGGGGGACGGACGTGGGCACTGGGGGGGCAGGAGCTGCTGGTATAAGAGGGGCAGCGGGGAACGGCTGGTGCTGATTTCCTCGGGCACCGACGCCAGCATGGGACCCCCACAGGTGAGAGCAGCGGTGGGGGGCTGGAGATTGGGGGGGCAGGGAGCCGTGCGCTGGCCAGGGGGACATGGGGGCACATGGGGGACGAGGGTCCCTGCTGGGGAGGGTCCGGGCCCCAGCTAACAGTGCCCCCTTCCCCGAGCCGGCCCCATCTGCCCCCCGCTCTGTCCTCTCCCCCAGCGCGGGCTGCAGGCTCTGGCGCTGGCGCTGCTGCTGGCCGGGGGGGCCCTGGGGGCCGCCCGCGGGCGCCGCTTCTGCCGCCCCGTCAACGCCACGATCGCGGCCGAGAAGGACGACTGCCCCGTCTGCGTCACCGTGGCCACGGCCATCTGCAGCGGGTACTGCCAGACCAAGGTGAGGGCGGGGCCGGGGTGGGCGGCAGGGGTGGGCCCGCCGGGCAGGGGCCCCCGCACCCAGGGGTGGGCGGACACCGGCGGGAGGGGGGCACAGGTCCCGGGGGGGGGTTGCCGCCTGCCCCCCTGCCCTACCCCTCTCTCCCCAGGAGCCGGTGTACAAGAGCGCCCTGGCGCCCGTCTCCCAGCACGTTTGCAGCTACCGGGCCGTGCGCTACGAGACGCTGGCGCTGCCCGGCTGCCCGCCCGGCGTGGACCCGGCCTTCACCTTCCCGGTGGCGCTGAGCTGCCACTGCAGCCTGTGCCCCATGGACTCCAGCGACTGCACCGTGCACAGCCTCGGGCCCGACTTCTGCAGCGCCCGGGGGGGCTTCGCCTAGGGGCGGGGGGCAATAAACGCCATGGCCACGCCCTCGGCTCCGTGTATGTGTGGGGTGGGGGGCAGAGCAGGGCCTCGCTGTGACCACTGGCCCCCAGAGCCAGGCACGGAACCTGGGGGGCTCCAGGCTCCCAGCCCCTCCCCACAACCCACTAGACCTCAGCCCCCTCCCAGAGCCGGGCACAGGACCAAGGAATCTTGCCCCCCAACCTCCGCCCCCTCCCAAAGCCAGCACAGAACCCAGGCGTCCGGGCTCCCAGCCGTCTCCCACCCCCACATGAGACTCCCAGAGCCAAGCACAGAACCCAGGTGTCCGGGCTCTCAGCCCCC